CTTCGGGGGGATTTGTTCTCGAGCAGTGACGAAGCGTCCTGGCTCGCCTATAGGTCCGCCAAAGAATGTTCTGAAAACCTTGTGTGGTCTGCACGGAATGGTCTTAGAACATTTCTGGCTGAGGCCGTCTTGGTTCAACACATCGGGTTTGTGTTCTGAGAACGTTGTTGTTGTTGCTGATGGTGTTGTTCCCTACCTAGGCTCTGCCTAGAAGGGTTCTTACTCGCTTGGCTTAAAGGGGCCGGGCAGGGCAAACCGCCCCGAGCGGTTCCCCCAGTCCCTTGGGAGCCAAGCAAAAGCAACAGCAAAGGTAAAAGCAAACGCGCGGTTCCCCCAGTTGCGCTCCCTGGGTGCCAAGCAACAGCAACCGCAAAGGCAAACGTGAAGGCAAAAGCGAAGGCAAACCAAAAGCATAGCATAGCACAGCATAGCATAGCATAGCGCAGCATAGCATAGCGCAGCATAGCATAGCATAGCCTAGTTTAGCCTAGCCCAGCATAGCATTGCGCAGCATAGCATAACACAGCATAGCAGAGCAGAGCATAGCATAGAATAGCATAGCGCAGCACAGCATCCACTATTGCTGCTGCTGCTGCTACTACTATTACTACTACTACTACTACTACTACTACTACTACTACTACTACTACTACTACTACTACTACTACTACTACTACTACTACTACTACTACTACTACCACTACCCTACTACTACTACTACTACTACTACTACTACTACTACTACTACTACTACTACTACTACTACTACTACTACTACTACTACTACTACTACTATTACTACTACTACTACTACTACTACTACTACTACTACTACTACTACTACTACTACTACTACTACTACTACTACTACTACTACCGCTACTGCTACAACTAAGACGATGAGGAGAAGGAGGAGGACGGCGTTTACCGCTCCTACGAATGTTGCTTTCCTAGAGGCTCCAATTCCGGTAGGGTCGCATTGGGGTCATTGTTGATTGAAAATAAGTATTATTGATCCCCCCTCCTGTGACCATGGTGTTTATTCAATTGACGTGTCTCCTCCAGGGCTCGCACCCTGTTTTGTTTCAGGGAATGTCACAGGTCTCAAGCTGGGTTGTTGGCACCTTGATTACAACAACAACACCAGCAACAACAACAACAACAACAACAACAACAACAATCATTTTACCCGAACGCTCAGTGTTCTCACCAGTGCCAGGGTTTTCATGCGACGCGAGACAATACCCCCACTTCGTGGGGGGCAGTTCAAGCTCTACCAAATATCCAAACGACTCTTCGCGACCACCCAAACCCAGCTTCCCGCCCTATGACGTTGGGACACTTCACTTCGTGGCGTGCGGACGACCGTGGCTACTACACTGGCGTGGGGTACACACCCACAGAACTTGGTCACTTATTCGGGGCGCGCGTGTGCCCAGCATCCTGCAATTGTGACATACAATACATGACACAGACAGACAGAGAGAGAGACAGAGAGCAGACAGAGAGAGAGACAGAGAGAGCGGAGTTGGTCACATTTTTGGGGCAAGTTCCTGAGATCGTCGTGTTTTTTGTTGGTCTTGCGCGCGCGAATGTCCACTTTACTTTTTTTTTGCAAGGGAGTATTGAAATTTGATTATGTTAGAACAAGAAAAAGTAGCTCGCGCGAGCTCATGTAACATAAATGTTGAAAAACCATTGGTTTTGTGGGAGTCGGACAGCGCGCGCGGGATGAAATTTGGACATTTTTTTTTGAAAAACCATTGGGTTTTTGATGTTTTTATGTTGAAATCGTTACGAAACCTAAGGTTCTGGAAGGATTTCGTCTTGCGCGCGCGAATGTCCACTTTACCTTATTTTTTGCAAGGGAATATTGAAATTTGATTATGTTAGAACAAGAAAAAGTAGCTCGCGCGAGCTCATGTAACATAAATGTTGAAAAACCATTGGTTTTGTGGGATTCGGACAGCGCGCGCGGAAGGACATTTTGACAATTTGTTTCTTAAAAAACCATTGGGTTTTTGATGTTTTTATGTTAAAATCGTTACGAAACCTAAGGTTTTGGAAGGATTTCGTCTTGCGCGCACGAATGTCCACTTTACCTTATTTTTTGCAAGGGATTCTTGCAATTTGATCAAGTAAGAACAAGAATTTTCATTTTATAGTGTTTTTTGCAAGGGAAAACGGATTACAACAAAACAACCGGATCCGGTGACAATCCACTTTTCTGAAGCTTTCGCTAGAAAATGAAGGAAATGAGGCTGCGGCCTAGGTTTTGGAGGGGGGTCGCGCACCAGGGGTCTCAACAATAATATTTCTTTAGAAGTAATAATATTCAACAACGGCTTCCACCTGAATCTTCCCCACAATTTAGCCAGGACCTCCACTCCCGCCTGAGGCTTCCCCGATTGTTTCCACGAATCGCGCTCCCGCTTGGTACTTTCTTGCACTTTATTAACTGGTCGCTCTCTCGGCGCTCTGGAGTCGCGCTCTCGATGGACATTGGCTTGCAATTGATTGAAGAATCGTCTTCTTGCGTTGGACTTTCCCGCAATTTACTCACGCGCCGCGCTCCCGACACTAAGGCACCCAGGAGTCGCGCTCACGCTTAGGACTCACCTACACCAGCTTCCCTAGGAATCGGGATCTCGCTGCCCTTCGGGACCCCGTTGCAGCCCTTCGTGGCTCCCTCGCTGCCTTTCGTGGCCCCCATCGCTGCCCTTCGTGGCCCCGTTGCAGTCATTCGTTGCCCCCTCGCGGCCCTTCGTGGCTCCGTTGCAGCCCTTCGTGGCTCCCTCGCTGCCCTTCGTGGCCCCGTTGCGGCCCTTCGCGGCTCCCTCGCTGCCCTTCGTGGCCCCGTTTCAGCCTTTCGCGGCCCCCATCGCTGCCCTAGCCTTTCGCGGCCCCCATCGCTGCCCTTCGTGGCCCCGTTGCAGCCCTTCGTGGCCCCCTCGCTGCCCTTCGTGGTCTCGTTGCAGCCCTTCGTGGCCCCCTTGCTGCCCTTCGTGGTCCCGTTGCACCCCTTCGTGGCCCCCTCGCTGCCCTTCGTGGCTCCGTTGCAGCCTCTCGTGGCTCCGTTGCAGCCCTTCGTGGCCCCATATATGCATTCTTTTCGTGGCCACCGCTCGTTAGCGCCCGTCGTGACCCCATCTGCATGCGCTTCGTGGCCCCGCTATCGCCCTTTCTGGCCCCCTCGCTGCCCTACGCGGCCCCGTTGCTACCCTCAGTGGCCCCGCATTCTCTGCCCTTCGTGGCCCCCGCTCGTTCGCGCCCTGCGTGGCCCCATACGCATGCCCTTCGTGGTCCCGCTGTCGCCCTTCGTGGCCCCATTCCTGCCCTTCTTGGCCCCGCTGTCGCTCTCGCTCTCGCTCTCGCTTTCGCTCGTCGTCGTCGTCGTCGTCGTCGTCGTCGTCGTCGTCGTCGTCGTGGTTGTCGGTCCCCTGTCCGTCCCTCTTGGGGTCGGGTTGCTGCCGATCAGCGTTGCCGCTGGCCAGGCCGACGGTCCGCGGCCGACTGCCGCTTACCGGAGCCAGGCCGGCAGGAAAGAAAGATATACCCCCGAAAAGGGGTACGATCGAAGACGAAGAGGGCGGGCATCGAGGGTTTGGGAAATACACGTTGACGGACACTCGAGCAGATACGAGCGAACAGTCTTACAATGGTTGTTAATGTTGTTGCTTGTACTATCAGAACACTTTGGGGTTCTAAGAACATGTCGTGGTAGGCCTACATGAAAGCCGGGACGGTCGGCACCTACTAAAGAAAAGGCTCCGATGCCGCTGCCCTCGCCTCGGTTTCCCTTTCGGAGTCAGGCGTGGCCTTAGTGACCCCTGGCACACCATCCCCTTGCGTGACGTCCCCCTCGCCTCGCCCCACGACGCGTGTGTGTGTGTGTTGTGTGTGTGTGTGTGTGTGCGTGTGTGTGCGTGTGTGTGAGAGTGTGTGTGTGTGTGTGTGTGTGTGTTGTGTGTGTGCGTGTGTGTGCGTGTGTGTGAGAGTGTGTGTGTTGTGTTGTGTTGTGTTGTGTTGTGTTGTGTTGTGTTGTGTTGTGCTGTGCTGTGCTGTGCTGTGCTGTGCTGTGCTGTGTGTGTGTGCGGCCGGCGGGAAGCGTGGAGGGCGAGGACGACGTCACCGAAGGGGATGATCAGCTAGGGGTCGGCCAGGTCGCGCCCGACGGAGGGCCTCGTCGCCACCGCTGGGGTTCGACTCGGAGTTCAGGCCCGAGCGCTCCCTGGGAGGGGCCCGGCGAGCAGATGCATCGGTACCTCTCGGATTATTCCGAAGGAGCATTGCGTTACATCTTCGGGGATTCGGGCCTGACACGCGCCTGCCGCCCTGGCAACGCGAGGGCGGCCAGGAACGACAAGCGCAGATTTTTGTTTTCCCCCCGGTCTCAGGGGCTGCGGCTCGCAGGCCAGAGGGAGTTCGAGTCAGAACAAGATCGGTGACGTCCCCGCCGCCCCCCTCCCCAAAAATGCATCTTCGGGGGTCCTTGTCTGTCCTGCTGACGGCGGTCTTCTCTCGCACCCGAGGCGGGTCCGACGTGGCTGCGCGGATTAGATATGTTTGACATGGACTCGGAACGGACTCGGCACAGATAGGTGGCGCGATGGGACATTGGAGGCGCCCCCGAAGATGCAACGTCAGGAGCGAGTTGGATCAGGGGCGCCTGCTCAACCAGGCCTGGCCACGCGTCTTCCAGCTGGACGTCAACGGGCACGACGTGCTGCGCGTAAAGGCGCCCCCGCGCCTGTCCAAGCGCAGGGACCTGCCCGTGAATATCTCAACCAAGCTTCGCCGCGGCAGGAGCTCGAGGGCATCCAGGAAGAGGGGAGGACTGCATGTGTGCAGACACCATGGCCAGGGCCGTGGCTATGTCCTCCCTCTTCTTCCTTCATGCATCCCCTGGCCCCCCACTTTGTCCGCGCACGTGCCTCGGGCCCTGATGCGCCCGCCCCCCTCCCCTCTTCCTGACCCTCTCGAGCTCGGCGCGGCCGCAGGAACGACCTGGAACTCACAGTCGAGGACGACCTCAAGAGCGAGTACGTCTTCGCGGTGGTGCGCGTGGCGGCGTGCCCGATCGTGGAGCTGGCGATCATCGATGATAAGATACGACTAACCCTAATAGCAGAATGAAGACGTGGCCTCAGTGAGGGCCCCGTCTTCAGAGTAGGGATCATAAATCTGGGCGGTCGATACATCTGCAGAAAAGACCCCCCACCCCTTATGTTCTTGGTCCTCCTAGCTTAGATCCCCTCCCAAAGGGTTAGGGGACCCTCTTTGGTCAAACAGGCGAGCCGCGTGGAGCGCAACGACGTCGAGGGCGACCTGGCACGCGTCCGCGCGCTGCTCGCCTCGCGCCCCGGCGCGGGCGCCGCGGGCGCCGGCACGAGTGGCGGCGGCGGCGTGGAGTGCGTGGGCGACGAGCGGCTGCAGCTACGGTGCTTCAGGAAGGACAAATGAGCGACGCCATGAAGGGGGGTCGTCTGCGCCGACGTTCGCGCGTAAGCTGCCCGCGTAAGGTCGCGCGTAAGCGCCCTCGTCTCCACTGTGGCGTGCCACGCCGGCGGCCCGCGTAAGCCGCGGCGTAAGGTCGCTACGTCATCTCGCGTAAGGCCTGTTTAATCGTCGCTCAAATCGGCAGGAACGACAAATCTCGGAGGAGGGGAAGGTACCCGTACCACTAAACTTCGCCCGTTTTCCCCTTCTTGGGCCTTTTGGGCGGCCCTCGTCGCCACCGCTGGATTCGCTTCGAAATCCGTGTGAGAAAGCACCCTGGGCGAGGTCCGGGGGGTAACGGTATCGGTACTCTGTAGTTTTCCCATGAAGGTGAATTTTCGGAGGTTTGCAAAGATTTCTCGGATCGGCGTTGGAACCCAGCGGCGCACGGCGCCGATCCAAAAAGGGGAGGGGGCTCTTCGGGCCGTCTTGGGATCCAGGGTGCCCCAATAGCGCCATCGTGCGCCGCGAGAGCAGGAGACGCCTGTTGCTACGGCCGCGCCCTTCCTGTCGCGCGGAGCGCGCAATGAAGGGCTTGGCATCGCTCGGACGCCCAGTTGGCCGCGACAACGGCAGGGCCGTTCCTTCGAAGTTTACGAACAGCTTTGCTTCGGGATAGAAGCCGGAACGGGAACCAGCAAACACTCGGCGACGGAACCGGGAACACAGCTTGTGCCGAAACCGGAAGGGAACCGGCACGACGGCAGCGGGAGCGAAGCGGCCCTGCTGTTTCCAGGGCCAGCTGAGTTCGTATGTATGCGCATGCTTCTCGGCGAGGTCAGTGCCAGGAAATTTGGACCATGTCGGAGCACCGTGGACCATCTCGAGAAACACATGCGAGTCACGCACACGAGCAGGCCGTGCATGGGGAATGGACGCCCGATCGATGGCAAGAGGGGGGTCCAGCGCCGATCCAAGAAATCCGCGGAGACCTGTGAGAGTGTCTTCAGCCACGCGCAGAGGGGCGCGGGGGGAGGGCGGAGGGCTGCCTAGAAGCACCCCTGCTTCTCAGAAGGCGCGGGCCTTATCTATAGATGCAGGGCCGGCTCCTTCTCGGAAGCAGCCTGCTTCTGAGAAGCCTTCCCCCCTCTCCCCACTCCCTTGTGCGCGTCGCCAATCTCTGGGCCTGTGCAGTGGTTGTCCTCTGCCAGGTGCCCTCTCACGCTCTCGCGCCCGACGTCGGCCCCAGCGCGCGGGCGGCTGTGCAGGCACCTGCAGTGCATGGACCTCGACGCGTACCTGGTGGCCAACGTCCGCACCCGCGCCTTCAACAGCCGGTGGCGCTGCCCGCTCTGCAGCCTCGGGCCGTGGGGCCTCGAGAGACCGCTCGCCCAGACCCAGACAGATCGACGGAGGAGAATCTGCACGGGCTCACTCGGCGAGCGTTTCGCGGGGTACGTTCGACTGGTTTTGGACGTCGATTCGTGATTCGATTTGCCGATTGGTTGTTGATTCATGTTCTGGCGGCGTGGGCAGGGCCAGTCGGGGCTCCGTGTCGGGCATTGAGAAAACGCCCACCCAGAGCAGCCGACTGAGGGAATCTGCACGGGTCCACTCGACATTGGCATACGAGTGTATCGTGCAGTCCCTGGTCGGTTTCGCTAATCGACGCATGCGCGCCGGATACATTCGGTTGTTCTTCGAGGGAGGAAAAAACAGCTCGACCCTTTGTAGAGGGCGTTTGCTAAACAGCTGTGGGCGTTTACTAAACTGGCTTGCCCTGTGAATCCCTTACTCAGGTGCGCTTGCTAATAGACTTCGCTTGCTGGGGTGCTTATCACCAGGTTGGTGTTTCTGTCTTTTAGTTTTGGATGTCGATTAGTGGCTCCGTCCCGATGCACTCGGAATGCGGTGTTGCGCGCACCCGTGGAAGGCCCCAGCAGTTTTTACGAAAGGGCGTTCAGCGAAAGGGCGGGGCGAGGACGAGGATAAATCCATCCCAGAGCGTTCCAGAACGCTCGCACAGCGTTCCAGGACGCTCTGAGAAGACCGCGGCGCCCGAGACGTCCTCAAGAGACGCCAGATCTCATACATTCCCTATGCATCCTCGCCCGAATTTGTCCTCGTCCTGGCTTCGTCTTGGGTTGTGGCAATCCTCGAGGCTGAGGGCGGCCGACCTCTGCATCGACACCTTTGTGGAGGGAGTGCTCGCCGCCACTGCCGACGGGGTGGAGGAGCAGCCCGCCTCGTCCAGGAAAACCAGCGGCTTCGCCGTCGGGTGCCCGTCGCGCATGCATCGGCGATGCACCACCGCTTCAAGCTCGCTGTTCCCCCCCTCGAGTCGCTCCCACGAGGGAGGGAAGTGAGAAGGAAAAGGTTTTCTCAGAGGGCGGCGGAGCTTCTCGGAAGCCCTCTAGCCCTCTAGGAAGTCTTCTGGGCCTTCGGGGAAGGTCTAGAAGAACTTCTCAGAAGGCCAGGGGACTTCCGAGTTTTCTGAGAGGGCCCGCCCCTCCTCGCTTCTCCCCCTTGCTCGTCGCCGACTATCGCTTCCCCGTCAGAGGAGGTCCTCGTGGCGCCCGACGCCTCCTGGAAGGCGGTGGAGCCTCCGACTGGACGCGGCGCCACTGGCCCTCGGGCGTTGCGTAACGGGGTGGGCGAGGGGGGAAGAAAAGTGCGCCTTGTGGGCGATCAGCGAGTGGCGTCGGACAGGGCTAGGACGAGGATCAACCCGTTCCAGAACGTTCCAGAACGCTTTCATAGCGTTGCGAAACGCTCTGAGAAGGCCGCGGCGCCCGAGACATCCTCCAGATCCGTTGGATATCAGAGGTTACCGATTCATCCTCACCCGACTTGTTCCCTGTCTTGGCTTCGTCTCAGGGTCGAGGAAGTTAGATGTGTTATGCGTGTGGATAACTGTAAGTCTGAGTTCTCGTCTTCCCCGGCTGTGGACGTTGACTATTTCTTGTTAGTGGTCGCTACCAGGCGCTAGTCGACACGAATCGGCGCAGATAGGCGCTAATAAGGGCTAAAGGACGTTAGTAAGGACATTGATAGGCACTAATTGGCGCTAAAAGGACGCAACCTGCCCATTCCTGCACAGAATACCTTTCGTGCACCTTGGGGCCCTTCCGAGAGCCCCAAATGGGCCCATTGGGCCAAACAGGGGCACGAAAGGTTACGTTTCCTCGACCCCTCAGAGATCCTACGTCCTGGTTTTGGTTCATTGCAGGATCCCCAGAGGTATCGACCCAGCCCAGGGGATTGGTCTTTCATACTGAGTCGTTTTCTGATTGTCATCGGGCCCGGCGAGGGTGTCTAGAGGCCGAAGGCTGTGAAACATGTCCGCTTCGATATTTCCCAACCATCTTGTAGTGTTGGGTCTTCGTTTTGAAGAGACAGCGCCTTGCGTCACTCCTTCCTTCCTTCCTTCCTTCCTTCCTTCCTTCCTTCCTTCCTTCCTTCCTTCCTCCTCCTTTCCCTCCTCCCTCCTCCCATCCCTTGCACCCTCACACGTTTCGTGGCTCCATAGGAAGCTCCGCCGAAGGCCCCAGTGGCAGGGCTCGCATGCGGTTCCACCCCGATTTCGCCACATCCATCATACGTTTCGTGGCCCCATAGGGAGGTTCGACGAAGGCCCCAGTGGCAGTGTTCGCATGCTGTTCCACCCCTAATTTCGGCACACCCCTCACACGTTTCGTGGGCCCATAGGGAGCTCCACCGAGGGCCCCTGCAGCAGGATGCGCATGCGGTTGCACTCCCATTTCGGCACATCTTTCACACGTTTCGTGGCCCCACTTGGAGCTCCGCCGAAGGCCCCTGTAGCAGGATGCGCATGCGGTTCTACCAACTCGGTACCACCTCACACGTTTCGTGGCCCCGTTCGGAGCTACACAGAGGGCCCCAGTGGCAGGGTTCGCATGCGGTTCCACACCCATCTCGGCACGCCCCTCACACGCTTCCTGGCTCCATCGGGAGCTCCGCCGAAGGCCCCAGTGGCAGGGTTCGCACGCCGTTCCACCCCGAATTCCGGAATACCCCTTACACGTTTCGTGGCCCCATAGGGAGGTTCGACGAAGGCCCCAGTGGCAGGGTTCGCATGCGGTTCCACCTACATTTCGGCACACCCATCAGACGTTTCGTGGGCCCTACAGGGGGCTCCACCAAAGGCCGCAGTGGCAGGGTTCGCATGCGGTTCCACCCCAATTTCGGCACACTCCGCACACGTTTCGTGGCCCCGTCGGCAGCTCCACCGAAGGCCCCAGTGGCAGGGTTCGCATCTGGTTCCACTCACATTTCGGCACGCCCCTCACACGTTTGATTGCCCCATAGGAAGCTCCATCGAAGGCCCCAGTGGCAGGGTTCTCATGCGGTTTCACCCTAGTTTCGGCACACCTCTCACACGTTTCGTGGTCCCACAGGGAGCTCCACCGACGGCAACGCTCACAACTGCGGCACCCACAACTGCAGATGCTTGGGTCCTTCGCCAGGCCACTGTCAATGTGTTCGGATCTCTTGGCCATTCAACCTGGAGGCCCAGGTTACGATCCCCACCCCGTCAATCCCTGCACCGAAAAATATAAGGAATGAATTCCGATCGGGGTGGGAAACCGCCGAGCGATATCGTTGGCACCGAAATAAGTACGCTGGGGGCGTTCGTTGAGGAACGCGCCCAGGGGGCTTCAGACCCTGAAGGGTTCCTTCTCTCATGAGGGCAGCGGTGATATCCATCGCCAATCCACTATTGGAGTTCCGCTGGCTTCCAGACCCTGGATTCCTAATCGAAGGTTTCTTTATCCAATGCCCCCACTGTATCCCCCTCCCGTCATAGGCAACGCCAAGGGCTCTTCCAGCAGCGTCCACGAGAGGGCCCAGCCGGGGGCCTCTCGAGGCCGCGAACGGCGAAGAAGATCCGCTTCGATGTTTGCAAGTGTGGTTTTTCTGCGCCTATGAACGCCCCCCCAATATACGGTAGGTTCGTGTCGTGTCGACCAGCGGCGATCCCGCTAGCGGCGTTCAATTTTGAACGCCGCGGGCGACCCAGAGTCGTTCGATGTGGAACGAGTTGGACGTTTCGAAAACGGCCGATCTTTCAAGGTTGAACGATCCCCACGGTGTCAGAAACCAACGCCGAGGTCGGCACGACATGAAGCTGGCGTAATCGGGAGACAAAAGGGTTAGGATAGGGAGAGGGGTGGGGGGGCAGAAAATCTGCAGCATGCAGCTGGTCCCCGCCCCGCCGCCAGGCCCACTCGAGCTGATACACTGGCGCCTCCCGGCGCCTGGAGAACCAGCTGACGTGAGCTGATTCTCTACCCTGCCCTCTGCTGTCCTGCCCTCTCGCCCCCTCCCCGTGCCCAGACCCCCGACGCAGTGATTTTACCACCGCGTCGATCCCCAGAGGTCTGGACCCCTCCCCCGGCACCGGCTTCTCCTCCTGTTGACGGTCCTGAGGGCCAGGTGGAGCCCCTGGAGGCCGAAAATACAGGAAAACCGCCCGCCGTGATTGTTTCACCACGCGAGGGGGTCTGGGTACTATGAGCAAGCCCAGACATCTGCCCGCTCCAATTTTTGTTGGTGTGCGTGCTCCCGAGGTCTGGACCGCTTCCCTAGGGCCGGCTCTTCGTCCCGAGCCGTTCTTTGGCGGCCCCGAGGCCCGGCGAGGAGGGCCCCCAGCGGCCAAACACCGCCCGCTCCCAGATTTGTCGGAGCGTCGGCTCCCTGGGACCCCCCCAGGCTCCTCCAGCAGCGGCGACGAGGGCCCCGCCGCCGCCGCGGCGCGGCGCCCGGCGGCGCGCCGCGGCGCGGGCCGCCCCCGGGGTGGGCCGCAGGCCGCGGCCGCCGCGGCGGCCGGGGCGCCGGCGCGCCGGCGCCCGTGCCACGCGCGCGGCGGCGCCCGCGGCAGGGGCCGTGGCCCGCCCCGCGGCGGTGCGCAGCGGCAGTGAACACAGGGCTCGGTGTCGAGACTTCGGTTCGACGAAAGCACGCCGTAAACACTAGCTTTCGGCGCTCCGCGCGGATTTCTTGGATCCGCGCTGGGTCCCCCCAGCGGCGCCTCTGGCGCCACCCATGGCGCGCTCCGCGCGCCAGGGAGGGGGGTCCAGCGCAGATCCAAGATATCCGCGCGGAGCGTCACAAGTTTAAGTTTATGGCGTTGTTTCTTCTTCTAGCCGATTCGATTCGACTTCGATGTCGATGCCTCCGATTCGGTTCGGCTCGGCTTCGAGCGGCTCGGGTGCCGGTTCGGTTCGGCTTCGGATGTTGGTTTGGAGTTCGATTTATTTGGCCTGCCCCGTGGCGGTACGCAGCGGCAGTGGACACAGGGCTCGATGTCCATTCCTTCGATTCGTTCGGTGGCAACTCATGGGAGCTTCCCATACCATCTTGTCGGCTCCTGCGAATCGACACTTAGCGACGCTAAATCGACGCTGATCGACGCAACATCGACGCTAGCTAATTGACGCTAGCCGAGACTGAACCGACGCTAGAGACAGACTCTCACTGGCAGTTAACAGGGCTCGATGTCGATTCCTCTAGGCGTCCTAGATGGGGTCCGAGTAGATGGGGTCGGAGGATCGCGCCGATTCGCCGATGCATCGCAGATGCGGCTCGATGTGGAGCCCGAATTTCCCCACGCCGACGTCGCCGATGTTCAGTGCCAGTTCACAGTCGGGGGAACGTAAGACTCGAGTAAGCCAGGACTCGGGTTGACCGACGTTTTTTGACGAGCGCGTCGTGGATTTTGACGGTCTGGTTTTCGTGGCCGATTCGATTCGACTCGGCTTCGATCGGCTCCGATGCCGATTCGGTTCGGCTTCGGTTCTGATCTGAAGTTCGGTTTCTCTGGCCCGCCCCGCGGCGGTGCTCAGCGGCAGTTAACACAGGGCTCAATGCCGATTCCTCCGATTCGCTTCGATTCGGCTTCGATCGGCTCCGATGCCTTCGGTAGCAAATCATTGGAGCCTGGTATACCCTCTTAATTCCGTCTTTAGCGTCGGTTAGAGTCGATGAGCGTCGATTTAGCGCCGATTAGCGTCGATTTAAGGTCGATTAGCGTCGATTCGCACGAGCCGACACGATGGTATGGGAGGCTCCAATGAGTTGCCACAGTGGCCCGCCCCGCGGCGGTGCTCAGTGGCAGTTAACCCAGATGTCTGGGATTGCTCATAATACCCAGACCCCCTCACGACGGGCGCCTCCTGGGCCTCGGGGCCCGCAAAAAGCGGCTCTCGAGGAGAAGCTGGTCCCGGGGGAGGGGGCCAGACCTCTGGGGGTCGACGTTGTGAAGAAATCACGACGTCTGGCAGTTAACATAGGGCACGATTTCGATTCCTCCGATTCTCGGGGGAAGAAAAGGTACCTGGCCCATACCTCTACCCCCCTCGCCCGTTTTTCCCGTTTGGGGGGCCTCCTGGGAGGCCCTTCAGAACGCCCCCCTGGGAGAGGTCTGGGGGGTAGCAGTAGGTACCTTTTGGTTTACCCAGGTTCGAGCCTCGCTTCGTGCAAAAATCATGACGGGCGGTTGCTCGGTCTTTTTGGCCTCCGGGGGCCCATCCTGGGCCTCGGGGCCCTCAAACAATGGGTAAGGATGTGAACAGCCAGTCCCTGGGAAGGGGTCCAGACCTCTGGGGGCTGACGTTGTTCATTAGACAATCTCGACGTCGGGGGTCTGGGAGGAGGAGGAGGAGGAGGAGGAGGAGGAGGAGGAGGAGGAGGAGGAGGAGGAGGAGGAGGAGAGGGGAGGGTGAGGAGGGAGGGGAAGAAGGGGAGGAGGAGAGACGCGAGGCGCTGCGGATTCAAAACGAGGACCCGTCACCACAGGATGGTTGGGAAGCAGTCGCGACGGACGTTCGCTGGGGAAGGCCGCAGAAGGTTGGTGTCCATAGGGTTCCAGGCGAGATCTCTCGCGTTGCGGCAGCGTTTCCGCGACGTCGCAGGTCAGTGGATGTGGAGCCGATCAGGAGGAGGAGGAGGAGGAGGAGGAGGAGGAGGAGGAGGAGGAGGAGGAGGAGGAGGGGAGGAGGAAGGAGGAGGGAGAGGAGGGAGGAGGAGGAGGAGGAGGAGGAGGAGGAGGAGGAGGAGGAGGAGGCGGAGGAGGAGGGAGGAGGAGGAGGAGGGGGGGAGGAGGGGGGAGGAGGAGGAGGAGGAGGGAGGAGGAGGAGGAGGAGGAGGAGGAGAGGAGGAGGAGGAGGAGGAGGGAGGAGGAGGGGGGAGGGGGAGGAGGAGGGGGAGGAGGAGGAGGGGGGAGGAGGAGGAGGAGGAGGAGGAGGAGGAGGAGGAGGAGGAGGGAGGAGGAAGAGGGAGGCGGAGGAGGAGGAGGGAGGAGCGGCGGCGGGACTCGCCGCAGGCTGCCGGCTAGACCCTGGCCGCCGCCCGCTGACCTGGGTTTGGGGGCTGCTGCACGCCGGTCGTTGAAGGAGTAGGTATTCCTGGATTCCCCTCGAGGATCGACCGGTTTCCTGCTTCCCTCCCGTTCAGGTGGCGGGCTGAAGCCCAATCTACTCCCCAGAGGCATCTAAGATGGAACAAGAGGCCTTCCGGTGGAGTCCAAGACGACCTTGGAACAGCCCCAAGACGGCGCAGCACGGAGCAGTGCAGCTGGCGCGCAATGTAACGTATTGGCTTGCACTGTTACCATTCTGAGTTTTTGACCAAAATATAGTTGCTACACTAATTGTGGTGCCGAACCCATGCTGTGCGAACTGCGTCGTGCGCAACTTCTCAGTTGTTGCTTCGATCCTCGCATCAGGCCGTGCATGCATTGAAGGTCGCAAACCATACGCGCTCGCGATTACAGCCGCATGATTCGATCGATACTGTGTTGCACGTCAGCGAATAGTTGTTTTCCGATCATCGTGATGAATGAAGGGCACGCAGTTTACTCAAGAGGTTTACGCCAGTCTGCCGATCCCCAGACGAGGAGCTGGGCGGCCTCCGCATGCGCATGTGTTGTTTGCCGCTTCTCGTCGTACTGCCTGCGTGCGGTTGTTACCGATTTCGTCCTCATCCGCTTCTGTTGCGAGGCTTTGAGGGAGGCATCTTGGAGCCTTCTCAGGGCTTTGGGGGGTCCTCTGGGGGCTTTTTGAGAGCATCTCTTGCGAACCTGACGGGGGCATGTTGGGCGTCGTGAGGGCCATCTTACAGCTGAGGGCTCACAGGGCTCCTGCGCGTTTTCCCCCTCGGGGCCCTCTCGAAGGCATTTTTGGTTGTGTGCAGGGGCTGCATCTTGCAGGCGAGGGCCCACGGCCTCCCCGCGCGTTTTCCCTCCTGGGGCCCTCTTGAAGGCGCTCCTGGTCGTGCAGCGGCCTCCTGGGCCATCAGAGGGCGCTCTCGGGTCGTCTCCAGAGCCTCGTAGGCCGTCCTGGGCCGGTCTGGTGCGCTCCAAGACAGCCCAAATGGCCCCAACACGGCCAATACACAGCCCAAGAGGCCTCCAAGAGGCCCCAAGAGAGCTCTGAGAGGCGTCCCGAGAAAGCCCGAAGAGGCCCACATCCTTGATGTCCGGTAGTTGTTTCCATGTTTTTCGCTTTCTCGCGTTCTCGACCTTCCGACGCTCCAAACGGCCGAAGACGCCCCGAAGATCGCCCCCAAACCGCCGAAAACGCCCCCAAAAAGGCCCCAAGGCGGCCCCAGAGAGCCTGATGACTTCCCAGGAGCAGCGCAAAACTGCCCGAGAGAGTCCCAGGACAGGCACAAGATGGGCCCCAGAGCGGGAGCGGGAGGCCCCAAGGCGTCCCAGGACGGCCCAGATGATTCCAACGTGGCCCAAGAGGAGCCCAAGGCGGCCAACACACAGCCCAAGAGGCCTCCAAGAGGGCCAAAAGAGCTCCGAAGGACGCCACGAGAGAGCCCAAAGAGGCCCAATTCATTGATTTGCATTGGTTAGTTCTATGTTTTTCGCTTGCTCGCGTTCTCGAGCTTCCAATGCTCGAAGACGGCCGCAGACGCCCCCAAGACCGCCGAAGAGTCACCCAACAGAGCCCCAAGACGGCCCCAGGGAGCCTCCGTAGCCATTTTGGCTCAAGTGTTCTGGCTCACAGAGCATCCAGCAACCTTCACTTGCTTCCTGGAAACTAGGTTTCCCACCTCTGCAACATACTCGTCTACCTCTTTTGGCCAAGGCAAGCTGTCGGGATGGCGGCATCCCAGAAGGCATCATGGGCCGCTTTCCTGGTGGTGGTGCTCGCTCCCTCGACGCGCGCCCTTCGTCTCCGAGACGGCGAGTCTGAGGCTGCTGCCGGCGTGACTACCGCAACCGCCACGTGCACATCTGCCTGGACCAATTTCCCCGCCCCGGAAATGGGGCCTTGCTCGAATGAGTATGAATGGTGCGGGTGGATTCCGAACGCCCCTGTATGGTCTACTACAACGACGCTCAGCGGATCGGGAACTGCTACAGTCGTCTTCGGCAATCCAGTCCTTGGACACGGACGTGTTAATCTGTATTTGAATGGAAACCTCATCAGGTCGTTGGCGCAGGGCGAAAAGGCAACAGAGAATGTTGCTTTCCAGGACGGTGACATCTTGGGCCTCGACGAGACCAATACCGGTATCATCGCTTTGGGATCAGTCACCTGCACTCAGGCGCCGACGCCCAGCCCGACGGGCTCCCCGACGCCCAACCCGACGCCCAGCCCGACGCCCAGCCCGACGCCCAGCCCGACGACGTTCTGGACTGGACTGGACACCTTGCGATGTGTGGCGGGCATGCGTGTGTGGCTCGCAAGAGCGACGGCACGGTTGTTGCATGGGGAGACAGCTCTAAAGGCGGTGACGCTCCCGGTGGTCTCACCAATGTAGCGTCTGCGATGTGTGGCTGGGAGGCGTGTGTGGCTCGCAAGAACGACGGCACGGTTGTTGCATGGGGAACCAGCGGTCGTGGCGGTAACGCTCCCGGTGGTCTCACCAATGTAGCGGATGCGATGTGTGGCGGGAGCGCGTGTGTGGCTCGCAAACACGACGGAACGGTTGTTGCATGGGGACGCGACTGTTGTGGCGGTGACACTAGCGGTGTCGATCTCACCAATGTAGCGGATGCGATGTGTGGCATGTGGGTGTGTATTGCTCGCAGGAACGACGGCACGGTTGTTGCATGGGGAACGAGCCAATATGGCGGTAACGCTCCCGGTGGTCTCACCAATGTAGTGGATGCGATGTGTGGCCACAGAGCGTGTGTGGTTCGCAAGAACGACGGCACGGTTGTTGCATGGGGAGACAGCGGTAATGGCGATAACGCTCCCGGTGGTCTCACCAATGTAGTGGATGCGATGTGTGGCGGGTGGGCGTGTCTGGCTCGCAAACACGACGGTACGGTTGTTGCATGGGGACGCTACTGTTGTGGCGGTGACACTAGCGGTGTCGATCTCACCAATGTAGTGGATGCGATGTGTGGCACGAGCGCTTGTGTGGCTCGCAAGAACGACGGCACGGTTGTTGTATGGGGAGAGAGCGGTCGTGGCGGTAACGCTCCCGGTGGTCTCACCAATGTAGTGGATGCGATGTGTGGGGACGGTGCGTGTGTGGCTCGCAACAACGACGGCACGGTTGTTGCATGGGGAGCCAGCGGTAATGGCGGTATCGCTCCCAGTGGTCTCACCAATGTAGCGGATGCGATGTGTGGCCACAAAGCGTGTGTGGCTCGCAAGAACGACGGCACGGCTGTTGCACGGGGAGACAACACTATGGGCGGTGACACTAGCGGTGTCGATCTCACCAATATTCAGGTGCCGACGCCGGCGCCAACCCCGGCTGCGGCATCTGCCACTGGCGATCCGCATTTGATGAACATCCACGGAGAACGTTTCGACTTGATGAAGCCTGGGAAGGTCGTGCCGGTGCAGATCCCGCGTGGAAGCTCTGCCGACGACTCGCTTCTGACCGTCGAGGCAGACGCGCGCCAGCTTGGTGGTTCCTGCGCGGACATGTATTTCCAGATGCTCAACATCACAGGGGCTTGGGCGGACAAGGTGCGTGCCGGCGGGATCACCTTCACCACCAGGGAGGCGCGCGAGGGGACGTTCCAGATATCGAGCTGGACGAAGTTTGGCCCACTGGAACTAAAAGTCGCGCACGGCCACGCGCACGAGGGCATCAAGCACTTGAATTTCTACGTCAAGCACTTGGGACTTGCCGGCGCCGTTGTCGGAGGATTATTTGGAGAAGATGATCACGTCGACGCGGCTACGCCAGGGGAGGGTTGCAAGAAGACAATGGCGCTGTCGAAAGGCTCCTCATCGGATGCGATCGCCTCCGAGGCGATCGGTCTCATGTAGTCGACGAGCAGAACAAGGTGTGAGGATGACAGCGGTATTTAACAAACCTGATATCGCCACGAACCCCGACCTTGAAATGCAGGTGGGGATGATTGGTGAGAGTGGCACGGGCAAGGAAGGAGGTGCCTGTAAAATAAACGATGGGGCGTGCAAATATCAGGAGGGGTGGTCAGTTTTTGGCACCCTGCCCGTTCGAGAGCGCGCCGAACAGTTCGATTTGAGTCCCATGGCGGCCTGGCCCTCCCCGTTGGCGCCCCGTGGCGTGCCGGCTTTGGGGCCTGGGCTGGAAGCGAGAGCGCGCGCAGCAAAGGCTTAGTCCAGAGCCTCTCGCTCCGGCCACCTTTCCCCATCCGCATCCTCCGCATCCTTCCTCCATTTGTCATGCGTTCTGCAGCGTCTTGCGGCGGACCCCCAGCCCATCCTAGAGTTGTCCGCTCGCTGCGGGTTCTCTCCGATGTCGCTGATGCGGTAACGTGGCCGCGCCTGGACAGCGCATTTTGTTCAGTTTTCCTCGTGTCTGTCGAAAGCCTCTTCCTTCTTGTTTTGTTTGTTACTTCTGCCATTTCCACTTGCTCTTGATCTGTGAGCCACTCCGCTCCGGATGCTCGCGCGGAATTCCGTCCGTGCCACTGCGTGCAAACATGTCCGCGCCTGATTCCTGGCGTTCCCCTGCCCTGCGCTTCAAGGCTGCTGTGTCCTGATCTTCATCCTTTCAACCCGTTGCTGCCTTTTGGGGGTGCGATCCTTACGAACGAGTGCCTGACAATTGACAGTGTGTCCTCTGCGTATCGTATTGGTCGAGAGGAAACTTGCCTGGGAATGACCACTCGGCGCGCAGGTTGTTTGTAAAACCGCCCAGACTCGCATGCTGCATGGCTTTTGTGCCAGAGAGGAGGCGCGCATCGATGACGCTGGCTACCAACCGCGGGCTAATGTCCGTGAGGCCAGTCGAGGCGTGCAGCACTGGCGCGGGGTCCTCTGCACTATGGTTTCGGCGTATGTCGCGAGCACGAGACGCTCGACAACATATGTACATAGTGTTCGGGGTGAAGGTCGGCACTTGTATAGACGTGCGGCTTCCACTTTCTCACTATTCTGCCAGTCTCGCTATTTCTGTCGCCTTTCATGGACAACAAAAAAAAAGACGGCCCCAGGGAGCCCGAAAATTACCCAGGAGGAGCCCCTGATGGCCCAAGAGAGCCCCAGAGCAGGCCCAAGTTGGGCCACAGAGCGGGAGCGGGAGGCCCCAGGACGCTCCAAGACGGCCCAGATGGCCCGGGTCTCCCCCCTCCGTCCCGCCTTCACTCCCGCCCCCTCCCCTTGCGTCCATTCCCTCCTCTCTCCTCTTCCTCCCTCCTCCTCTCCTAGGACGGCCCCGCCAGAGTGCCAGACAGGCCCCGCCAGAGCGAGTGGGGCATCGCGAAACCCAATCATTTCACCAGTTGCTCTGCCCCTCTCACCCCTCAAAGGCGGCCCCGCCAGAGCGAGAGGGGTGTTGCTATACCATATACAGTCCCTGTTGTGCTTAGCTCCTCCCACCGCACCCGAGGTAGCCCCGTCAGAGCGCACAGGGTGTGGCTATACCATAATTGTCCTAAGGTTTCGTGCTTTTCCCTCCCCTTTTGGGCAAGCCCGTCCAGAGCGCCAGGGACCCCCCGCCAGAGAGAGCAGGGCATCCCGATACCATATTATTTCACGTTGTTATTGCTCCTCCCACCCTTGCAGGGCGGACTTGCCCGAACGAGCGGGGTGTGGCCATACTATACAATGTATCAGGGTTCGGGCCCCTCCCTCACCTCCTGAAAGGCCTCGCCAGAGCACCAAGAAGGTACGCCAGAGGCCCCGTCACCATTCGTAGTGCTTGCCAGGCAAATCGTTGAGCATCCCCCGTGAACCCGAACCTTGTGCTCCCACGGGTGCGATTTTCGGCGGCATGAGATTTGGCGTCCAGCACACAGAAGCTCCCCACTCCCGTGGACGGACTCGACAACAACTGATTGTAGAGAAGGGCGCCGATGACCAGGACATCTGCGCGCGCCATCTGCAGATACCCGACAACTGAACGACCGCTGAAAACGAGAAACTTGGAACACAAGGGAGAGGACAAACAACGCGCTCCCACGCGCGCGCAACGAGGCCCCGAGCCAACCCCAACATCAGGAGCTTGCGGATGTCTGCGTGCTCGGGCAAGGGGAGACCGAACAAATGTGCAAACACATAGGGTGTCACGACGGGCGGAACGGAAGCGAAAGTGGAGAAACAAGCGCTGTCCGATAAACCAAACAAATGCGGCAGCGAGGTTGGGAGATACGCGGGGACGCGGCGCCCGCCGTTCTGACTACGCGTTTCTTTGCGTCGATGGCATGGGCCCGAGAACGCTGGACATCGTCGTTCTGGCCAAAGCGGGGCTTGCAGCGGCACCCGTGGCTCATCTGCGACTGGAGCGTAAGCGCGCGCTACGCGCGCGTGGTCTTAGTACATATAAATATACATAGACATATACATATACCTACCTACCTACCTACCTACCTACCTACCTACCTACCTACATACATACATACATACATACATACATACATACATACACACATACGCGAAATGGAACATCAGTTTTAGCCGATATGAATTTTGCACCTCGTTTGCGCGAAGATCTCCAGTGCTGGGTTGCAGCCTTTTCTGCACGTGTCAGAGCGCACTGGCACCAACGTTGGAAACACTGGACAGGGATGTGTCCTCCAGGGGCCAAGACCCGCGAGGGTCCGCTTGGGCGGGTGTGCCGGTCGAGCTACACCTTAGGCGATGCTGAAGAAAACTTACATTTTCGGCCAGAGTCTCGATTATTCTTGACGTTTCAATGTGAATCCCAAGATTTTGATAGAAATGTTGGGGTTTTATTCGAGTTCTGAGACTATGAATTTCTTAACCCATGATTTCTTAAGCATTTCGCAGGGTGTATGCTCGGCCGCGTGCCGCGGGGAGCTTGGCCGCTTGGACAACAACACTTTCGTACAAACACAGCCCCCCCGCGCGTACAAACACAGCCGCCCGAGCGTGCAAACACGGCCCCCCTGAGAGGGGAGGAGAGTGTTCAATTTCGTTTTTCCGTCCGTATCCTATCCACTCAGGCGGCTGATCGCCAGGTAAGAGAACCTAAGTGCGCGCGAAGCTCGTAGCATGGTGTCTCTGAGTTTGGTGGAGCTAGTCAATAGTCCCCTGGGCTACTCCTCCCCCATCGATCTCGGCCACATGTCTCGCGCCCCACCCCCCTCAGCCGCCTACTCTCCGCGGTCCCTGGCCTGGGAAACCGGAGTGCGTTCCCCCCTATAAGTGGTGGATACCTCGCTGAAGAGGTAGGGCCTGGTAGAGGGGGGTTAGCTGTAGGGTGGTGAACCATGAGACCGAGAGGGAAGGTAGACCGGGTTCTTGGGATTTTGGGACCAGCCTTGCAAAACCCACTGGCCGACAAAAGAAGCAGAAAGAGAGAGGGAGAGAGAGAGAGAGAGAGAAAAAAAAAAAGGATCTGCCTGTTCTCTTCTATATCAGGGGTTTCGATCGGTTTCTGCCACCCCCTGCTTGCCCAAACATATACGTTCACTGTAGATGTTTGGTGAAGGTGAACGGCGGGTCGCTCGTTTCGTCGGTCGGGCTTGTATGCACGGCAACCGTCTCGGCCCACCTTCCACACCCTGAAACTTGGGACACCAAGCGTGAAAATTTCGCAGAGGCCTAATCAGTAGTCCCCTGAGTCCCCTGGGTTACTCCTCCCCCATCGGTCTCGGCCACATGTCTCGCGCCCCCCCTCGGCCGCCTGCTCTCCGCGGTCCCTGGCCTGGGAAACCGCAGCGCGTTCCCCCCATAAGTGGTGGGTACTTCGCTGAAGAGGTAGGGCCTGGTAGAAGGGGGGCAGCTGGTTAGTTGTAGGGCGGCGAACCATGAGACCGAGAGGGAGGGTAGCCCAGGCTCTGGGATTTTAGGACCAACCTTACAAAAGCCGATGGCCGATAAAAGAAACATGAAGAAAAAGAGAGAGAGAGAGAGAGAGAGAACAAAAAACATAAGAAGGGGCTCTGCCCATTCTCCTTCATATCAGAGGCCTCGCCCACTCCTTTCGGATCAGCTTCCGCCACCCCCCGCCTGCCCAAACATTTATGTGTTCGAACGCTTTGGTGTTTCCCAACAGTTTCTCAGATGACCTATTGAAATCCTCCTTGGGCATGCACGGCAGTAGCAGGAGTAACAATGGTGGTAATTCTGCTTGGCAGCGATGAAGCATCATTCGGTTTTCTATATTTTGCGAAGGCCTTACGGCCGGTGCCGCCGACCCTGAATGGCGACGACGACGACGACGACGACGACGAGCGCTCTTGGGGGCCTCTTGGGGGTAGTTTGTGGGCCTCTTGGGAAGGTCTTAGGGGTCGCTTGGAAGCCTCGTGGGGGCCTCTTGGGGCTTCCTGGGGGTCTCTTGGAGGGGGCCTGGGACGTCTTGGAGGCTTCTTGGACGGTCTTGGGGCTGTCTTGGGCGTTTGCGGCAGATCTTTGGGCGACTCGGGGCCCTCTTGGGCCGTCTCGGGGGCCATCTTGGGCATTCGGACCTCATTTGGAGTGTTTTCGAGGTTTAGGCCGCCCGCGGATAAACGAATCTGCCTTCCCCCCCCCCAACCACCCCTTCCCCCGGGACCCCCTCCCCCACCCCTCCCGGGACCCCCCCCGGGACCCCCCCCCCCCCTGGGGAAGGGATCGAAGGGAAGGGGCTTCCCTTCGACTCGATTACGATACTGCTAGATTTTTCTCTCGCTCACGAGCTTGAGAAGGAAGCTGCAGGGAAAGGGGACGACGGAGGCGACGACCGACGGAGACGAAGACTCGAACAGCCAAGCCCCTCGCACACGCCGACAGGGTCGGCGGATTTGGGTCGCGTCTTGAATTCGTGATTGTCATTGGTGTCGTGCCAACCTTTTTTCTTCATAGCATCGCCCCAACCATCGTCGCACCTTTTTGTTCCAAAGCTTACGTGGCCCACATCAACCTGGGACAACCTACGTGGTAAAGATAAGGAAGCTTCCATTCCAAATGCGCAGCCTTGCCGCCAGCCACCCTGATGCCTTCCGCGATGATTGCGACCCGAGCGTTGCCCCAAGTGCGCCTGGAGGAGACGGCGATTGCGCTCCCCGCCCCGCTCGTTTGAGCGGGGCATTTCCGTCAGCGGCTCTCGCTGCGGTGCGCAAGCGTGGGCCACCTCCTGGTTTGGCCTCCCTGGCCGCCACTCCCGTCACGCTCGGGATTTCCGACAATCTCATCGAGGGGTTGCGTGCTTCCAGACACCTCCAACGACATCGAGGGCGCTCCGCCCAGCACCATCCGCCCGCGCATCTGCGCGCAGTCCGACGGCACGCTCTGGCAGGCAGCGGCGGGTTCTATCGGCGGCCGGTCCAGGGGCGGAGTGAGAAGGGGCGGGCGGGTCTTCTCAAAAAGCTTAGGGGCCCGAAGTGTTCTCTAAGCCTTCCCCGAAGACACAGAAGACTTCTCGGAAGGCGTGAGGGCTTCTGAAAAGGTCCCGCCGCCTTCTGAGAGGGCCGTCTCCTTCTCGCTTCCCGCCTCCCTTGCTCGCCGCCGAGCTATGCCCTGGCGCACAAGGTAGCTGGAGCTTGGGCGCCGGGGTCCAGGGCTGCGACCCCATGGATTTAGCGGGCGAAGCAAGGTGCGTAGCACCCCGCAGATGCGGATAAGAGTGAGGGGGCGGTTGGGACGTCGGCAGTTTGCGAGACTCTGGAGAAGCCTGCCGCAGGCGCCAAAGTTTCACAAATTATACAACTAGCCCGCAGCAGGCACTGATTTTTTCGTTAAACTACGGTGGGTAAGTCGCGGGTGGGTCGCAAATTGGTCGCGAGTAGGTCGCTGTTGGGTCACGGGTGGGTCGCGGGTGTAGAAGGCAAAAAATCCACCCCATAATAATGACCCCGGCAAGCGAAGCCGTTTAGTAAACGCACACAAACAATGAATCGAACAGGGCAGGGCTGTTTAGTCAACGCCCAAGACCGTTTAGAAAAACGTCAATTGTCGGGTCCAGGTGTTTTTTCCTCCCTTGAGGGTGGGTCGCGGGGTGGGTCGCGGGTGGGTCGCGGGGTGGGTCGCGGGGTGGGTCGCGGGTGGGTCGCGGGTGGGTCGCGGGGTGGGTCGCGGGTGGGTCGCGGGGGGGGTCGCGGGGGGGGGTCGCGGGGTGGGTCGCGTGGTGGGTCGCGGGTGGGTCGCGGGTGGGACGACGACAACAAACAACAATTTCAACAACAACAACAACAACAACAACAACAACAACAACAATGACAACAACAAAATTTTTAAGACTGTTCGCCCTTATATGCTCGAGTGTCCAATAACGCGTATTTCCCAAACCTTCGATACCCCCGCTCTTCGTCTTCGATCGAACCCGTTTTGGGGGGTATACCTTTCTTCCCTGCAGGCCGGGCCCCGGCAAGCGGCGGGGCGGCCGCGGACCGTCGGCCTGGCCAGCGGCAGCGCTGATGGGCGGGGCGGCCGCGGACCGTCGACCCGACCCCAAGAGGGACGGACAGGGGACGACGACGACGACGACGACGACGACGACGACGTCGACGACGACGACGACGACGACGACGACGGCGACGACGAGCGAAAGCGAGAGCGAGAGAGAACGACAGCAGAGCCACGAAGGGCACGAAGTAGGCCACGAAGGGCGACAGCGGGGACACGAAGGGAATGCGTATGGGGCCACGAAGAGCGCGAACGAGCGGGGGCCACGAAGTGCAGATAATGCGGGGCCACAGAAGGCAACTATGGGGCCACTGAGGGTAGCAACTGGGCCACGTAGGACAGTGAGGGGGACACAAATGGCGACAGCGGGGCCACGAAGGGCATGCACATGGGGCCACAACGGGCGCGACTCCTGGGTGCCTGGGTGTCGGGAGCGCGGCGCTTGGGCAAATTGCAGGACATTCCAACGCAAGGCCATTCTTCAGTAAGTTGCAAGCAAGTAAGTCTCCAGCGAGAGCGCGACTCCAGAGCGCCGGGAGAGCGATTCCTTAATAAATTTTCAGGAAGTCCTAAGCGAGAGCGCGATTCCTGAATAAAATGCGAGGAAGTCTCGGGCGGGAGCGGGGGTCCTGGCTAAATTGTAAGGAAGTCTCACGCGGGAGCCGTCGTTGTTGTAGCCAGGGGACCAGGGGCCCAGTTTGAGCATCAAGACTTCCCTTGTCAAAAAACAGGGTGCGAGCGTCGAGGGGCACACTTTGATTGAGAAAAAAACAGTATGCACCGGTGGGGGGATCAACAATAGTTCTTCTTCAGAAATGAGAATTCAACAATTATTCACTGCGTGGAGCTCCCCATATGTGCATCTACTCGCATGGACCTGTCCGCCGTGAATGTCTAGGCGCAAGAGCTTTTGAATATTAACGGGCTTCAGTTGTGACGGTCTGGACATCAATCTAACTGCGAATGAATTGGAGTGTGAATGAGCCTCAGTAGTACGAGCGCGTCTCTGTGCATGAGCCTGGGGCCTCCTGGGGCCTCCTGAAACCTACTGGGGCTTCCTGGGGTCTCCAGGAGCCTCTTGGGACCTCCTGGGACCTCCTAGGAAGGTTTCGTGCCCCAGGGGAGGCGCAATCTATAGCAACAGACGTGCATAAAACATTGCCGATTAGAGCCACAGGAGGAGGGCAATCTAGAGGAACACGCGTAAAACACCAAGGACTCGTGCCCCAGGAGAGGCCCAATACATAGGAACATGAGTAAAACATTTAGGATTGTGTACACAGGAGAAGGACCATCTATAGAAACATACGTAGAACATCAAAGAATCGTGCTCCAGGTGAGGCCCAATCGATAGGAGCATACGTAAAACACATGGGATTGGAGCCACTCCTGTTGCCTTCTGAGGCCTCCTGCTCCTGGGGCCTCTCGGGGCCTCCTGTTGCCTTCCGAGGCCTCCTGGCGCTTCCTGTTGCCTCCTGGGGCCTCCTGTGGTTTCCTGAAGCCTTCTGGAGCTTCCTGGGGCCTCCTGGAGCCTCTTGGGACATCCTGTAGCCTCTTGAGTCTTTCTGTGGCCTCCTGATGCCTCCTGGGACCTCATGTGGTCTCCTGGAGCCTCCTGGAGCCTGTTGGAGCCTCCTGTGGCATCCTGAGAAGAATCTGCGCCCACGAGCCTGGCCACCAAAACTAGCAAACCGATCGAGACATCCTCAAAATCTGGCCCACCTGGGGGGTGAAAATGAGCGCCCCGCTCGAGACATCCTCCAAATCTGCTCCGAAAGCGAAGGATGTTGGGCACAGAAACAGGCAAACCGCCTGAGACATCCCCACAAAATGGCCGCGAACGAGCCCGTGCAACCACCCCTGGCGGCTCCCCTTAGGGGTGCTGAAATGAGCGCCTCGCTCGAGACATCCTCCAAATCTGCTCCGAAAGCGAAGGATGTTGGGCACAGAAACAGGCAAACCGCCTGAGACATCCCCACAAAATGGCCGCGAACGAGCCCGTGCAACCACCCCTGGCGGCTCCCCTTAGGGGTGCTGAAATGAGCGCCTCGCTCGAGACATCCTCCAAATCTGCTCCGAAAGCGAAGGATGTTGGGCACAGAAACAGGCAAACCGCCTGAGACATCCCCACAAAATGGCCGCGAACGAGCCCGTGCAACCACCCCTGGCGGCTCCCCTTAGGGGTGCTGAAATGAGCGCCTCGCTCGAGACATCCTCCAAATCTGCTCCGAAAGCGAAGGATGTTGGGCACAGAAACAGGCAAACCGCCTGAGACATCCCCACAAAATGGCCGCGAACGAGCCCGTGCAACCACCCCTGGCGGCTCCCCTTAGGGGTGCTGACTATGAGTAAGTCTGTGAATGAGTAAGTCTGTGTATGTGTACGTCTGGGTATGACTAGTACTGTGTATGAGTAAGTCTGTGTATGAGTAAGTATGTATATGAGTATGTCTGAGTGTGAGTAAGTCTGAGTATGAGTAGGTCTGAGTATGAGTAAGTCTGAGTATGAGTAAGTCTGTGTATGAGCAAGTCTGAGTATGTCCGACAGGAGGGGAGGAGAAAAGAGGAGGAGGAAGGAGGAGGAGTAGGAGGCGTCCAAGTAATTATTCACTGCGTGGAGCTCCCCATATGCGCATCTATTCGCATGGACCTGTCTGCCGTGAATGTCTAGGCGCAAGAGCTTTCGAATATAAACGGGCTTCAGTTGTGACGGTCTGGACATAAATCTAATTGCGAATGAATCGGAGTGTGAATGAGCCTCAGTAGTACGAGCGCGTCTCTGTGCATGAGCCTGGGGCCTCCTGGGGCCGCCTGAAACCTACTGGGGTTTCCTGGGGTCTCCAGGAGCCTCTTGGGACCTCCTGGGACCTCCAAGGGAGGTGTCGTGCCCCAGGAGAGGCGCAATACATAGCAACAGACGTACATAAAACATTGCGGATTAGAGCCACAGAAGAAGGGCAATCTATAGGAACACGCGTAAAACACCAAGGACTCGTGCCCCAGGAGAGGCCCAAAATATAGGAACATAATTAAAACATGTAGGATTGTGTACACAGGAGAAGGACAATATATAGAAACATACGTATAACATCAAAGAATCGTGCTCCATGTGAGGCCCAATCGATAAGAGCATACGTAAAACACATGGGATTGGAACCACTCCTGTTGCCTTCTGAGGCCTCCTGCTCCTGGGGCCTCTCGGGGCCGCCTGTTGCCTTCCGAGGCCTCCTGACGCTTCCTGTTGGCTCCTGGGGCCTCCTGTGGTTTCCTGAGGCCTTCTGGAGCTTCCTGGAGCCTCTTGGGAAATCCTGTGGCCTCTTAAGCCTTTCTGTGGCCTCCTGATGCCTCCTGGGACCTCATGTGGTCTCCTGGGGCCTCCTGGAGCCTGTTGGAGCCTCCTGTGGCATCCTGAGAAGAATCTGCGCCCACGAGCCTGGCCACCAAAACAAGCAAACCGATCGAGACATCCTCAAAATCTGGCCCACCTGGGGGGTGAAAATGAGCGCCTCGCTCGAGACATCCTCCAAATCTGCTCCGAAAGCGAAGGATGCTGGCACAGAAAACAGGCAAACCGCTCGAGACATCCCCACAAAATTCCGCGAACGGGACCCCGTGAAATACCCCCCCGCCGCCCCCCTTAGAGTGCTGAGACGAGCGAATCGCCTGAGACATCCTCCAAATCTGCTCCGAAAACGAAACATGTTGGATCAGAAAATGGCCAAACCGCCTGAGACATCCCCACAAAATTCCGCGAACGGGACCCCGTGAAATACCCCCCCGCCGCCCCCCTTAGATTGCTGAGACGAGCGAATCGCCTGAGTCTGAGTGATGACTGAGTCTGAGTGATGAGAGAGCATGAGTGAGTCTGAGTGATGAGTGAATCTGAGTGGTGAGTCTGAGTGATGAGTGGTGTGTCTGAGTGAGGACTGAGTCTGAGTGATGAGTGAGTCTTGATGAGTGAGTCTGAGTGATGAGTGAGTGGGGAATCAAAAAACCCATCTTTGGATATGGGGAATCAAGAACTCCATCTTAGGATATGGGGAATAACTTACGTGTGTGTCTGAGTGATGGGTGTGGTGTTCTGTCCTGTTCTGTGTCCTTCCGGCTCGGTCCGCCAATTACTCGACGCGGGGCTCCCCATATGTGCATCTCATTTTCCTGGTACGTCTTTCAATTGATATCTGTCAATGAACGCCTATGTGCGAGGGCGAACCGCTCGCTCGAGACATTCCCACAGTCTGCAAGCATGAGTGCGACC